TGTGTTGATGAGTGTATTTTTCTGTGGTAATCATAGCCTTGTGGTGTGCAAATATATATACAATTCATACTCAAAAGAAATAATTAACTAAATTAATGCAAGGAATTACAAATAGTATCTAACAGGAATTAAATAATAAAAAAAACTTATTCTAGAAAACCAAAGTTCATCATCATCATAACCTTAACTCATTACTTTGAAAATTTCATAATATCATGAGGATGAGGCTCACAACCAAGGTAATGAAATGGAAATTTCTGAGCAGAAGTTGATCCAACATCAGCAGTTGCAGCCTGCTGATTATGAAGAGGGTTACATAATTTGTTTCTGAGATTCTGATCCATATTTCCATTGTGAGATGAAAGTAGTTTATCCAAAAATGACCAATCACCGCCATTGATCAACCTCTCTCCTTGTTGATGATGTTGTTGCTGCATGAGATTAAGTCCAGAGCTAGTATTTGTTGTTGGTGAGCCTCAACAAGTTTTGAGAACATTCAAGGATGTCCATGGATGAATTGTGAAAGGAAGTTGGTGGTGGTGGTTGTGCTAGAGCTGATGTTTCTGGACTGATAAACTGTGGTAGATGAATTGTACCATCAAAGGTGTTGTTGTTGTTGTAATCATACAGTCCTAATTGTTGCATGTGATGATGATGTTTTTGCTCTAGCATCTGGTGGCATGGACCTCCATTTGTTGATCTCATGTGGTTTATTATGTGATCTTCTTCTTCAATTTCTTGCTGGTAACCTCTGCTTGTGTTTTTCTTTTTGAAAACCCTACATACAACCCATCCATCTTCCTGAAAAAATAAATAACAATGAGCTATAAAGGAAATATAGATGATGACCATGATGATGATGGTGGTGGTAGTTTTGTGACCTGAACTTCTGCATTATCGTCGTCGTCGAGACGGTACTCATGCATGATCCAGTCAGTTTTGTGGCCATGAGGAGCACGTCCAGTGTAGAAGACTAGGGTTTTCCTCATACCAATCCTTTTGGAATTTGTGTGATATATGGCTTTGTCCCTTCCAGTTGCTTTCCAAAACCCAGCTGTAGTTGCTCTATTTGTTCTTGTTTCCTGTTGGGTATTTCTTGTCCTTGTGGCTGAAGAAATACCACTCATTCTGTGGCCCTGATCCAATCCTACACTTATCTACAACAAGTATACACACAAAAGAAATTAACAACGGCTGTTAACATTAACAACTTCATATTACAAAATCTAAAGCAATATACATAGCAGCACAGACACTTCATATACATGTTACATGCAAGAGTAGATGATATAGAGATTATGAATGTGTGTACCTTTGAGATCCCAAGGCTCAAGTCTGTTTAGATCAACTTCTCTGATAACATCAAGATCAATGGCTTCATAAGAAACTTTCTTCCTCAGGTAATAGTAAAGAAGCTCTTCATCAGTAGGGTGGACCTGAACCCTGGTGGAACTGTTAACTCTCCACTTCCTTGCATCATCATGCACTACTACCTGAAAGATTTTAAACAGAATATTCTATTAAAATGATAAACTATTTTATTCCATTCCATGCATGATATTTGAACCGATTAATATATTTGACTTTCTATCAACAAACTTACAAATTACAAGAACAAGTATTTTAGAACACAAACCCTTATAAACAGCAGAAAACACAGGAATATATGTATGCCTGAAATCCATGGATTTGTTTGAACAAAGAACAAGAACCATTAATTTGCTACGAGCATGGAAGGGTTCATTCAAGAAAAGAAGAAGAAAAATATTCGCTCATCTTGTCTTTATATGGTTCTATATACAACTATGTCAAAAACATGCATGAAACAACATGCAAAACATGAAAGAAGTTAGAAATAAAAGAAACAAATATGAAAGGTGAGAAAATGGAGAAAGAAAACAAACCTTTGTGTGATAAGGAAAATGGTTCCTTTGAAGAGAAAGAAGAAAAAGAAGCTTAGGTTACACTGTTTGGTAGCTTGAAGGGCACGGACGTGGGTTTTAAGAAAGAGAGAGATGTGTGGATCAGTGCAAATGGTAGCTAACTTCTCATACAAGGACTGACAACCAGGAATGGGCACAGAAATATATGAAAACTATATTCTATTTTTGTATATATTTCTGTAACACAATATAGGAAGAAGAAGATGAACTCAAGAATAAAATATTATGAGTTGCTAATTAGCTGTGTTATGGTCATCATACATGATGATGATATCACAAAAAGGTTGAATAATGAGGAGTTAGTAGAGCTTGCTCTTCACCTTTTTATGCTATAATATTTTAATTCACTGATTTATTATTTAATATAGTAATAAAAAGTTGATTTGTATGCAATGCTATTAGTGTGGAAATATTTAAATTTGGGAGATCATTATTCGATTAATAAAGTGAATATGTATCACCTCTCTTATTCATTTTTATATAAGTTAAAGTTTAAACATATTAATGTCCTTGATTTTTCGAATTACTTTTTTTTTTTATAAATATTTATTTGAATATGTATTGATTAAACTTGAATATTATTTAATATCAATTCTCTCATAGCTATTACTCCCTGTGTTTCCCAATAGTTGTTCTTTTTTCTATTTTTATTTATTTTAAATTATTTATCCCTTTAGAATATCAATGTGATATTTATTATTTTTTTTCACTAATTTATTCTTATTTATTGTATTTTAATTCATATAACTATTTCACTTTCTATTATTAATAAGATTATTTTAGTAAATGAGACTCATTTTAACATTAAAATCAACATAATTAATCATTATGTTAAAAAATATGAAAATCTCAAAAAAGACACTTGTTATGAGACGGAGAAAATATAATTTTTTGAATGGCAAATATACTATATAAAGGTGAGAGAACCAAATAATACAAGAGGTAGTTACAAAGCACAAGAAGTGTATGATAAATGGAACTAACATAATTGAACAAAAAGAATAAACAAAAGTCATCTAAAGAGAAAGTACTCCCGAAACAACACCAACCTACTCTAAAACTTCCACTTTACTCACAACTAGATCTTGAACCAACCAAATTCATCATCAATAGATCAGATCCCAGGCATAGGATAAAGACGATCCACCACCACTCTCCACACCAAGACAAACACTTGATATGTTATAGGTGCAAGTACAAGATTTGATTCTGAAGTCACTCCAAGAAGGTGCGAGAGTTCTCCCCACTTTTCCTGAAAACCAATACCAAACCAAAAAAAAAAACTCTTTCCTTCCGCTTCTTTTTGTTATTTTTGTGACTCATTTAAAGATAACATCATTTCGAGCATTCCAAACTGACCAAATAAACAATGTGTCTAAACCATAAGAAAATCACTCCTACACTTGTCCGTACCTCCTAAAGAATAAAAAATTTTGAAAAAACCCTATAAGATCATGGTGAATAACTACCTGCTAATCTAACAACCTAAACACATTGTACCACCACAAGAAGCAATCTACAAGTCACAAAAAGATGAGAGTCCGAATCAACTAGAAACCCTATAAAAGGGACAAAAATCTACTAGAATCAGAGAACACTCCTTTTTGAACAGGTTTCTATGAGACGGGAATCGATCCTGCAAAAGTTTATAGCCATAGTCTTAGATGGAGCCCAACTACTCCAAATAAGAGCCAAGGCATGATCCTGAAGCGAAAGCGGAAGCATAAGGGATGGTAACTCTTCCCTCTAAATAAGGTAAGCAGAAGCCACCGAGAATGGACCATTTATAAAATGCTTCTAAATAAATGTATCTATCCTTGGTAAGAAATGCATTTCAAAGCAATTCATGAAACTTTACAAGGACATATAACTCTTAAGGGAAAATGGATCTCCTCCATCTAAGATCCCAATTTAGAATCTCATGCTATTAACTCATATCTCTCTCATCTTCCCTGGTTGATGAATAGAGTTGGAAGTACAAACCATGAAACTTAGCCTTTAAAGAAATATTATCTAACCAAGGATCATCCCAAACGAAGGTATGAAGGCCTAACTCCACTCTCTTATCAATATCATATGAAAACCAGTCAGAGATGCCATCCTCCTTAGTCCCTAGAAGAGATACCTCCACTACTACGAAAAACCCTATTTAATAATGGTTGGAAAACCCATATAATCATGCGGGTCCAGGTGTTGTTGTGTAGAGTGTTATTGTAAATACGTAACTTACAATCACAATTCTGGGACCACTATAGTATATTGGAAAGTTCGCGTGATATCACAATGATTAGTTAACTTAACCGTCGTCATATGTCTTTTAATAAAATTAAAAAATAGCAGTAGAACAACAATAACATTAAGAACATTAAGAACAACAACAAGAATACCATGGACAACAAGAACAACATTAAAAACAATAAGAACAACATAAAAAACAACATGAAAAACAACAAGAACAATAACAAGAACAAGAAGAAGAAGAACAAGAACAACAAAAACAAGAAGAAGAAGAAGAAGAAGAAGAAGAAGAAGAAGAAGAAGAAGAAGAACAACAACAACAACGTACAACAACAACAATAACAAGAACAACAACAAAAACAACAACAAGAACAACAATAATAAGAACAACAACAACAACAACAACAACAACAACTAAAAAAGAATAATAAGAACAACAACAACAACAACAACTAATGTTGCTAACTTGAATCCATATTTTCCTTGTCTCATTCAAGATGAAGAATAGATGACAGAGTTGTGAAATTTATAAATTAAAGAAATGATCTTTCGAGTTTTTCTTACGGAAGAAATGATATATTTGAGTTTGGTTTAGTGAAGAAATAGAGTGTCGTAAATAAAAGATGATGTTTGAAGGTAGAAGATGAAGTTCGTCTAAGTTGGAAGTTTGTCTAAGTTTTAGGTTTCACGTGAATCGCTAACATTAGTGTCCTGAGCGTTAATAGTCACTAAATGGATGATTGAGATTTATTTAAGGATGGTGAAGAAACTCAATAAATACGCTATATAAAAAAAAGATTGTATTAAATAATCGTTGTTGTATGTCTTTTAACAAAATATAAAAAATACAGCACTAGAAAAGCAACAACAACAAGATTCGAACTCATGACTATGGGCACTACATATAACATAGTTGTATTAAATAACCGTTGTTGTACGTATTTCAATAAAATATAAAAAATACAACAATAAAATAACAACAACGTCAAGATTCGAACTCATGACCATATGTCACTTTTTACCACGGTTAGAACCTCCAGCTGTGGTGAAAAGTGGCTTAAATATGAAAATAAATAAAAAAAACGCGTCTAGTTTAATAGATTATACCACTATGTATCTTTTGACGTGATGACTTGGGTGTTGTTATTTACGCATTTCGTAGTAGTGCTCTTTCCACCAGGACGAAGATGAAAAATCATAAATCCTTCCTCCTCTATGGGAGAAAATAGATAGAGGCACATATCTAGCAGTATGGATATCCAAATACCAGAATTCCCATCGAACAACCTTCATCTCCACTTTACTAAAAGGGCATGATTAACAACTCGAAGATCCATCACACCTAACCCCTCTCTACTCTAAGGCTTGCACACCTTATCTCAACTTACCCAAAAAATCTTAGTCGAATTCTTCACTCCTTCCCAAAGAAACCTTTGTTGGATAGAGAGAATCTTCTTCCAAACTTTAACATGCATTTTCAGAAAGGATAATTAGAAGATGGGAAGAGCATTTAGTAATGATTTGAGGAGAATCACTCACTCCTCCCAAACTTACATACTTTGCTTCAAAGAACTCAGTCTTTTTTCCAACAAGACAATCAAAGGATCCCAAGTAGACTGAAGGCGGGGGGTTAGCTCCAACCAGTAACCTTAGGTATCTAAAGGGAAAGGAGGTTATCTCGCAATGAAGAAAGTCCCTAGCTGAACTAAGAAAGGTAAAGTCAACATTCACTCTAATAAAACTACTCTTGAAGAGGTTAACTCAAAGGCCTGAAGTTCTCTCAAAAACTCTAAAAATCGCCTTAATAC